GTAGGCAGGAATTTGTCCGAGCGCGATGGTAAGCAGGTATTTTCACCGGCGGAAAAAATGTTGGCCAAATCTGCTTACTGGGGGGTGGTTTCTATGTTGCAATACTGTACTGCTGTCAGAAGACAACTGCTGTAAGCAGAAAGTTACAGTATGTCTACTGCAGGTGGGTTCAGCTAAAGAAAAGGAAGAGGACAAGAAGGGAAGAAAGAAAACACAATATGAGAAGAGAAGGGAAGGAACAAATCACGGAATGGGGGGGAAGAGAAAGAAAGGGACAAGGAAAAGAGAAAGGAAACAGATGGAACAGGGAAAGGAAAGGGAACAAAGGAAACTTTAGGAGGAGGGAATAAAAGGAAAAGGGATAAGTATCACGGCTGGCTCTATTATTGGCTGAAATGATTTTTGAACCGTTGGAATGTCTGGTTTGCAGAAAGGGAGTGGTTCTCAGTTATTGCATGTGGCCCTGAAGTTCCAACGGTTCAAAAGGATTGCAATATATTTACTGTAGTTGAATATCACATTTGGATGTTCCAACTCCCTGGGGGACTGACTGCAGTAAGCAGAATGCAAGTACTGCTTACTGCATGTACGATCCGCTCCTTGTTTTTCCCCTTCCCGTGCACAAGCTGCTGGATCCCGCAGAATGGCTATATCTTGAAAATGTACAAATTGGTTGTGAATCACAGGCTTCTGACCCAAGGTCTGAGCAAAAAGTTTACAAACACGCACACACCTTTTCCCACCAAAGAATGATGTTTCAACTTTCAACAAACTGCAGAGCCAAGACCTGCGTGGTATCAGGGCTGAAGCCCCTTGCAAGTCCATCAAGGACCCCTTGCAAGTCCATCAAGGACTTCATGAATTCTGAGAACCAATGTTTCAGTGAGTGATATCACGTCCAAGGTCCGCCACCAATGCGCCTCTGAGAAGCTTAACCTTTTCAGCACTTTTGGCACAGCCTGGATTCACTTTGACGTGTTCAGACCAGCACCAAAGCAAGCATTCCATGAGTGCCTTGCAAGGACTGATAAAGCCGCGCTTCTTCAGATGTCCCCAGCACCTGGCTGCAGAGCATTTGTCACCACCGGGGTAGCGAACCTGCCAAGCATTGATGGTCAAGTGAACGCCAATGCCTGCCCCAATGACATTTGGGATCTCAGTCAGCCCCAGTAGGCTCAGGAACTTGAAGGACTCCAAGTCTTTGAATGCCCCGAGTGGAGCAGCAGCCACGGCAGGTTCCTTCTCAGTCGAAGAAGATGCCTCTGGCTGGCATTGGAAAACTTCGTGGCTGGCATCAAACTCCCACGCAATCTCACTCTCATTGTCAGAAACCTCATTGTGGAACGGCACCATTTGTGCCTCCGGAGCCTCCGGGTCGTCATTGCAATTGGGCAAGTTTGCTTTCAAAGCACCCTCTGCAGTCTCCATGTCTACTTCATCAGTTGCCAATAGAGCAAGTTGTTCACATATCTCCTGCTCATCACCTCACAGGCGGGTCATTCAAGCTTAGCCAAAAATCAAACCCCCAGTAGGAAGGTAGAGGAGACCTGCTTACTGCAGTGTTGTGAGGCCTTATATATTATATATATTTATACATGGCATCCGGCCTACATATTATATATATAAGTAATCTACCCAAATACATCCCTGCTACTTCTTATCTCCCAGAAGCTTTACCCCCCAGTAAGCAGATCCAGCAGATCTGCCTACTGGAGCCCTGTTCCTTTTCAATAAATACGTGGTTTCATGACAAGCCCGGCCTTCCACTTCCTCAGCTTTCTTTGCTTTGGCCTTGAAGTCATGCCCTTCATGTCCATGGCCACTTAAGCCATCCAGCACATGGGAAGTGGACAGACTCAAAGCATCAAGATGAATGCGAAGTTCTTGAATCTCTCGTGACATCCCTGTTACACTGACCAAGCGGAGCTTCTTGGCAGGCTGGTTCACCTCACCATCATGCAACAATTGCAAGGTCAAGCTTTGCATATCCACTTGGTAGGCCTGTGTCTTGTTGGTGGTGAGGACCTTCTGCGCACCATTCACCTTGTTGAGAGACCTGGCATAAACATCGGGTCCTGCCTCCTTCCCCGTCGCCTTGGATATGAGAATGATAGACTGGGAGCCTTCGCCAGCCTGGATCGCCTCAAACTTCTTCAAAGAGTTCTTGGTTTTAATGTCCTGGTCGCCAAATTCCTGCTGCCGATGTCTCCACAACGCTTCTGCATCCTGGATCTTTGCATGGAACTCAGCAAGTTTGCCATTTAGAATTGTTTGCCAATGCCCGGGAAGACATAGATAGTCCTCATCCTGCTCCTCTCCCTCCCACTCTTGTAGCGAGCCCTCTTGTGCTTTCTGCGATTGAACTTGCCACAAGAATGAAGTGCGCAGCGGGTCAGGCACTGTTAACACCTCCTCAACAGGCGCTGAGAAGACATCCTCACATGACTGGGCCTCGCAACTGGACATTTCCTTTGTAAGTTGGTCCTCTGTCACCCCGACCAAGTCAGGATTGCACTCCAGGACCTCAGCCTTGTTGGCCATGCCTCTGCTCAACCAAGCCCACCTACAGGAGGTGAATGAACATGTGTGAGTTCTATATATCTCTTCGGAAGGCCTCCCAACTATGTACATATATAAATGAAATAAATACATATATATATATTATATATATATATATTTATATACATTATTGGTTAAATATATGATACTTGTCGTATCATATGTATATATATTATATATATATATGGTTCCGACAGTTCAGCAAAAATCAAATTGATTCTCCTTTGTCCCCATCTCCTTTGCTCGTATGACCCCCCCCCAGACTGAACTGCAGTTAGCAGATCCCAAAGCTGCTTACTGGGGGGTTCTTCAACAAACCGTGCCTAAGCACATTCCGTTGTTTGGCCATTCTCTTCCAACCGTAGATTGCAGCCTTGATGGAATCAATGTGAGACAAAGCACGGTGGATGTTCGAGTTGGACATGAGTATTGGATCTGTGGTGGCCCGGCTCATGACTGGACATCTGTATCCCAGGCACGTCTCTGAGTATATGTTCATCATCCTCCTGTACTGTGCGTGGATTGCGTCACATGGCTGCCCCCGGGCCGACCATCCGCCTGGTTGGCGTTGGGGTAACAAGACTCTGTTGTTTTGTGCAAACAGCTCTCCTCAGCTTGCCAAGGAAAGAAACAAATCACACATGGTAAAGATTCAATGACACACGGTAAAAGCAAGGAGAAACAAAGAGACACCGCCACCCCAGTAAGCAGATTCAGTGATCTGCTTACTGCAGCCCCAACAACTTAGTCAACCACTCCAAGGCACGCTGCACATCCCAACCTTGCAATGTGGAGTGATGTCCACTGAAGGCATCGGCTAGGAGAAGGCCATATTCTTCATCAAAAGAACGGGAATACCTTTCTGACAAAGTCCGCCTCCGTTTTGCGAAGCTGTCCGCGAGCACCTTCTCAAAGTAAGAGACAACCGTTTCAGAGGTCATGAAATGAGAACTCCGGTTGGAGTTGAGGAAGTAAATGTTGTCTCGGCGGTACTCCTCTTCCAGTTCACTTCGCTGCTTATCGCTCAGAAAGCCATTGGGCAACACAATGGCCAATGGCCCGATCTCTCCGTTTCCCCAGATTGAAGTGACCAAGGTGATAGAGTGACGTGCGCCGTCAACATTGTCAGCTCGAGCATCCTTCCCTGCAAGGGAGCAAAGGGAACACAAAACAAACAAATCGGAGGGCAGTAAGCAGGTGAGAACATCTGCCAACTGCAGGGGTTTATTTGCTATATAGTTTTTCTCTGCCTAACATATATATATATATAAGGAACCACCAGTTCAGCCCACCATGACAGCGGAACGCCAAGTAGGGTTGAAAGGTGCCAAATCACAAACAAATAGAAGGTCAGATCCAAACAAAGATGGCCCTCGCCTGTAACCCTGCGCTTCTTGACTTCCCAACTCGTTTCTCCTCGTGTTTGCTGCAAGTGGAAGAGTTCATTCTGAATCTTGTCGCGTGTCCTGGAGAGATGCAAGGCTGCACAGTTGGTATCCATCACCTTGTGCCATAGTTTCTTGGGCTGGGACCAGCTGGCTTTCCAAAGTTGGTCAAAGTTGAGGGTCATATCTAGCCGAACTCCCTGCGTTGCCCTTTGAAACTGCAGCATTTTCCGCGACTTTTCCATGCGACTGTCATCGTAATCCAAGTAGGCTCCATAGGTGTTGGGTGTACGGGACCTCCACCCGTAGACATCAAGAAGCCTGGAAAGCCACCTGTCAGAAATCTTGGTTTTTGGCTCTGGTGGTTCCAGTCCCAGCTCTGCCGCTGTAGCTGCTTGCGTCTTCTTGTAAACATCCAAGAGAGACTCAGCTTCTTTCTTGAGCATCTTCATGTCCAGCGTGCCAGAAGTAAGTTGTCCAGATTCCGACCCTGTTGTCAATCTCTCTACCATTTCTACCAACTTGCTGACGATGCACTGGGGAACATTCTTCCCCTCTTTGAAGCGTTCCAGGCCTCTTGGGCCTAAGCCAAGGGGTATACGAACCCAATCCGGCAATTCCCTCCAGTTCCGATCTTTTTCTGGAAGTCTCTCGAAAGGAATTTCCCTCCAACGCTGCATGTCACATTGTGTCTTCCATCTTCCTAACATGCCGGTTTTGGGCCCTTTGGCCCCTTGGAAGAGATGAGGGTATGTAGCCATCACCGCCTTTTCCACGCCACTCCTCATGCCTGATTCAACAAGGCGATCCATTTCTCGGATTGCCACGAGCTTCTGATAAATGGATGGTCTGTTCCGAGGGAGGTTGCGATGCGACCTGCCATTGTCCACTTCCTCATCCTCACTAGCATCATCGGGGGATTCATCAACCGCCACAATGGCTGCGCTAGTCGCCTGTCAAAGACATGGTCAAACTTTGGACACTGCAGTAAGCAGACCACACCAACTGCCTACTGGGGCCTGGCTTGGCCACACGGACAATTCTAGGGTGGAACCGGGCCACAGAGCATGTGTCCCTATTGGGGGTAAGCTACGCATCTCCGCATCTGAACTGTTGGAATTTGATGCAAGGCGTTTTCAAAGTTTATGAGGCCCAGTATATGGGTTTCCAACAGTTCAGATTATTGATTATACAAAATCGTCCCGTCTGTTCAAAAAAACAATTGCAGTAAGCAGACCCCACTTCTGCCTACTGGACCCCACCTATCCTGAACTTGCAATTGCTGCACACGTTTTTATTATCCTTAAAAGGTTCGCCCTCCCAACAAGTACTACAAGTATCTACAAGTCTAGAATACAAAAAACACAACATATAGTAATATATTTACATGTTGCTGCAAACCTTTCTCCGCGCGTGGCTCCTTTTAAATAGGCCGGAACTGAGAAGAGCCAAAAGCTTGCTGCCTCCTACTACCTAGCTTTGCCGGCCAACTACTATATTTGCAGCCTAGGACTTGCGCGCCGCTGTGCTTCCTAACCTATCCTCACCTAACCTCACTCCTCCTCAGTTCATCCTTTTCAGGATTCGGGCAACCACACAGAACATGCTATGACCACGCGCACCATCGGCAAAGGAGTTGCTGTGAATGCCTTGAACACGCTGCCTGCATGTCCTAGTCCCAGTCCACCATCTCCCGGCTCCCAGTCACCAAGTCTCCTTCCTCTAGGTCCCTGTTTTGTGTGTGTGCAACGAAACTACCAAATTGGACCAAACTTGTATTATAGTCAAGTTCATATTTCTTTTTAGCTTCAAGCCTTTGGAGCACCATACCCAGTAAGCAGATTGGGTGATTCTGCTTACAGCAGTCCCTCAATCTGTTGCTTTTTCCTAAGAACGCTAGAAACTCAAGGGAAAGAACGCCTTCAAATATATGACCCTCCTTTTGTTCTCTAATTATGTGCGTTTTCTTTCACGCTTAGCAAACATATTGGTATGCAACTCTCCCAAGTGTTCTGAAAAATCCTTAATGTTTTGAAAGCTCCTTTAAGATCATTATAGTCTTCCCTGTGCTCCTCAAAAGTCCCTAAACTTCAAAATATATAGATATATATATATACACATATACATGCTGGAGTCCAGAGCACGTGCGCACCGACGCTAGCTCCAAGCTCCTAGTCCTCCACCTCCACACCCGCGGTCACCACCTCCAAGCTCCACCAATCTCAACCAAAGGCCACCTACAGGTCTCCCTAGTGGCCAAGCCGCTAAGTCAAGTCTTTCCATCGCTCTTCATCCTTTCAAGGATTGCGAGAACAGTGCATGTCAGATGGGTTGCATCGCTTCATCTTGGAATCCCAACACAATCGAGTGATGTCTTTGGATTCAACCCCAGTCAAAGTCCCAGTCAAAGTCCCACCCAGTGCTACTGCAGTAAGCAGATTGGTATGCTGGTAATGCCAGTGATGTTGGTGATGTTGCTACTGCAGTAAGC